CCCGCCGATGATGCGGCCGTCCTGGTCGCACCTGAGGGGGTTGGGCGGCAGAGCGGCGCGCAGGAATATTGTGTGCGTGTGTGCGGGTGTGTGTATGTGTGCGAGAGAGAGTATGTTTGTGTGCGCGTGTGTGTGCGTGCATGTGTGTGTCTGTGTGAGAGAGAGAGAGAGAGAGAGAGAGAGAGAGAGAGAGAGAGAGAGAGAGAGAGAGAGAGAGAGAGAGAATGGGTGCGTGTATGAGTGCGTTTGTGCTTGTGTGGGTGCAAGAGTGCGTTTGTGTGCACCAGGGGTGGGCACAAGTGACTGGGAGCATGCATGGGTCCTGGCTGAGGTTGCTGCAAGGCATGAGGCACTCGAACTCCCTTTGGCTGATATCGTGCAGCGGCCGCCTTCTACCCAGCCCAGGCCGCAAGCCTATGCAAGGACCCCGCAGCTGCCGTTCAAGCTGCGTTGTTGTTGGGATGTAATTGCACCAGCCACGGGCTGCCTCCCTTAGTTGCTGCTGCAGCTGGGGCGGCGCGCCGACCACCTTGGCCCTGCAGGGCCGTCCTGCGTCAGTGCTCACCCGCCTGCCTTCGACAGGTCAATGCCGCATGTCTTGCACGCATTGGGGCTGGCCTGCTGCAAGCACCAACAACAAAGCGGAGGGAGTTAGGAGCGCGCAATCCGCCCTGCGCAGCGCAAGCTGTGGTGCAGGCTGTGGGGCGAGTGTGGTGCAGGTGGTCCGCGGGCGCACCGGCTGCTCGTCCGCAGCTGCACGCACGACCACGCGTGCGCAGCGCTGGGCCCCTTGTGCCAAGGCTGTGCGTCCACTGGTGCTGCATTGCCGGCTGGAGGCCGCGCGGCCGCTGTTCAGGGCCTGCATCGTGCAAATGCTAGACGACGTATCTGAGAAGCACTTAGATGCGGCCGGATCCAGAAATTAAAGCAGAGATATTATCGAGGATCATGTGATTGATAGCATTTGCATCAGTGACACTCGCGCCTTGCTAGTGACCCTGCCGCTGGTGGAGATCTTTACGATTGTGCCTTGAGGCGAGCCTACGATTGGTTGCAATCATGTATAATATGAATATGATGATCATTATGTCGGTAGCCTGGCACTGATGAGCTTGTTGATGTGGGGGGCTTGACTTGGACCTACGGCGCACATTGACCACTGTTGAGCCTACAAGCACACCGTAGCAACGCTCAAGTAGAGGCCCCGCGGGACAAGTTGTACAAGTTGAAGTACTGATGCATTAGTCCGTATGCACAACATTGAAGAATGTCTGCGGTGTGCCACCCTGTTGCTTGAACTCCCGACCACAGCACCGCCGCTGCTGCTGCCTGCAATGCAGCAGCGATGGGCCCCCGGGCGGGATGCCCCGCAACAATACGATGCTTGCAAGATAGGGCTGCCGCAAGAAACGTCGCCACGACCCTCTGTTAGCGAGGCCGACGGGCGGCGTGCGCGTCCGCACGCGTGGCGACAGCAGGCCGCATCTCGCCATGGCTAAAGCGGCCGCCCCCCCCCCAGCGCCGCACGGGCGGGGGCGCGGCCGCCCGCCGTGGCTGTACCCCGTTAGAAAGCCTGGTCATCGCGTGCGTGTGCCTGGAACCCTTGAAGGGGGAGCCAGGCATGCTCCTCAGGTGTGTGCTGCACAAAAGCTTCGTGTGTTTCCTGCATTCAATACCTCGTGCAGTTGCATCTCTTTTGTTTCTGTGCGGCCATTCAGTTCAGGCCTCTTGTCTAATGCTGGCGAGCTGAATTTGCCGTCGCTGCCAACTGCCGAACCACTGGGAGTTGACCCGATGGTCAGTCTCCCATCCTGTGCTTGGCATCGACGGCGGCAGCGAATCGCACAGAGTGGCGCCACCCCGCTGACGGAGGGTCATCTGTGCACATGCACACAGCTTGGCAATCGCCCATTGCCGACAGGCCAAGGGCCGGGCCAGATGCCCCTGGCTAAGGCACAGGTGGACCAACCAGCACGACGGCCTCGTGCACTCCCTTCACTCGTGCAACCGGCGTTACGGTGTCCAAAGTGCAGGCGTGCTCATTTTTCGTTGCGGTTTGGGATTGGGTGCCAAACAATGTGTCATACACTGTGTCGCACTGTGTCGCACACTGCGGGAAAGACCCACAGACAAGGCGTCAAGGTCGCATGGGCATTTGCAGATTTGCGCGCGCCCTGCATGGCACCAACCATAAACTGGATCGCCCATGGCCATGCGGGCAGCACGGCGGGCGCCGCCGGCGCAGCAAATGCCACCTATAATGACATGGTACGACCATTGGTGCATGCGGGGGAGCAACAAACGCATGAATACATAGCAAGCGCTGCAAGTACAAGTGCAAAGGTGCATAGCGGTGGTCAAAGTATTGAATCCCGATCAACCCACGACAAACTCCAACAATGCGGTCAAACACGGCAACTGTTACCTAGGCACGCAAACGGCCCTGGAGGCCGCAGCCCGTGAAATGCCCACCCGCAGGCCCATCGCTAACGCTGGAGGCCTGCGATGCCGCGTGGCCGAGGCGCTGGCGCGCCACTGATTACGCGCGTTCGCCGCGGCCAAGCAACCGCGTGCGGCGCAGCGCGGGCGCCGCTGTACACGTCAGCGCAGTGTCGGCAAACACACGACTCAGGACCGACTGGGAAGCCGTGGCGTGGTAACGCACGGCTTGCCGTAATTGGACCGCCACTGGACTAAAATGCCATCGCCTACCTGCGCGGCCGCGGTGAAGGTAGCGGCGTGTAACGGGCGCCACGTCAGCCTGGGCTGTGATATGCGCCTCATCCGGCCCTTTGGCGCCTTGGCCCCATCCTCTCGAACATGCGCAGGCGCGCCTGCAACCCTCGGCCCCCGCCCGCCCGATGGCACCTTCCGGCGCGGCGCCCTCACCCGGCCGCGACTCCAGGTCAGGAGGGTGCCCCAGGGGAGGGGGCGCGCCGCCGCTCCAGCACCCGGTCTACCGCCTGCCAGGGGTGGCCACACACACGCACGGGGCAGAGCTTGCGTAAGGCTGAGGGCCGCAGAGTCGGCGGCACGCCCCTGCCTCGCTCAGCTGAGCCGCAGGGACACAGCCCAGAGGAGGCGGCAGCGGCGCACGCCGTCCGCCGAGCGCAGCGCCTGGGCGGGCGGCTCGGCCCCGCCGGCGAGGCGCCAGGCGTCTCACTCTCTCGAGCAGCACCCCCACTTGCGCGAGGGCCGGCGCCTCCGCGAGGGTTCGCGCGCGCGCACCTGCCCGATGGCCCAGCGCGGCTGCTGGCCCTCGTCCCGCTCCGACCAGATCGCGCCCGCAGCGACCGCCAGTTCGTCCTCGTTCATGCGGGGCAGCCCGCGCGACGTGAGGGACTCGTCCACCGCCCTCAAAAGTTCGTGAGAATCGGGGTCTGGCGGTTGATGAAAGGGGGAGCACATGCGCGCATGCGGGCGTGTGTGAGCATGAGTGCATGCGCGTGTGTCTTTGTGCGGACGTGTCGCCATGCTGGCCAGCGAAGTGCTGGTGCTCAATTGGTGTGTGTGTGCATGCGCTGCGGGTGCGTGCATGCAATCGTGAACACATGCATTGCCAATTACAGCAGGTCGTGGATCAACCAAACGACAGCACCGAAGCGACGGCCACGGTGCGGCCCGTCGACCCGGCGCAGCGGGCTGGCCGCTTGGAACGCCATTGAGGTGGCGCACCCAGGTCTTCCCAGCGCGTCACCGGCGGCGGCTGCGGCCGGCCCTGAGCGCCGTGGTGCTGCTGCTTGCTCTTGAGGCGGACCCATGCGTGCCGCCTCTCCAGCTGAAACGGCCAGGCGCGGGGGGCGGGGAGTTGCCCAGGCATGGCCAATGTTGTTGGCTCGTTGCGATTTGACAGGTGCTCGCTGCTAGTCTAGAGTGCTGAACAATGCGGGCATGGCTGGCATGCTGCTTGATGCATGTGGATAGTGCAGTCCGGATTTGAACAGCCGGTGCGCCGGTGATGCCTGGTGTTCAAACGCAGGGCGGTCTCCCTGCTCACCTCGCCCCGCTGGAAGCGCAGCAATTTGATGAGCAGCCACGCCATGATGCCTACGCCGCCTGACACCCCCCAAAGAACTCCGCTAATAAAGCTCCAGAGGCTGAGCGCCTGCAGGTTGGCAAGCATGGAGTGTGGGCGCAACAGCATGGCGCGCAGGTGCCGCAACCCGCCGCTCACGTGGTATGGCTGAGCACGCAGCAACTCGGCTCACCCGGGGAGCTGGCTGCATCTTTGAGCGCTTGATATGCGCATCCAACGCTGTTTGAGTGGGAGCTGCACGGCGGATTTCGCGCTCGAGATCTGTTGGGTCCCGACTACGTCACAACGGCTTGTATAGGCTGCTCATGTGAACTAGACTGAAAATACTGTGTTGAAGCAATGGTGCAGAAGGCTTCACGCACACTGAGCGTGCAGCAGAACCGCGCCGAAGGCGCTCTTCACCTGCACCGTTGACGGCACTGTTGAGCAGAGCACAGGTTGCTTGGTCGCTGCTCGCGCTGTGCGCAAGGCTGCCAGTCAACTCCATCCCCGCATGCCAAGAATATTGTGCCCCGCCATTGTGATGTCTCGTTACAGACACATGCAAGCTGAATGCTGACGCTCTCGAGACCACACTACCGCCGAGCGCTTGGGCCGCAGCACCCGTGTCGGCCGCTGCCGCACCCACCAATCAACCAACAAACCACACTAACGAACTTGTGTGAAACCCAATGGTTAAGCCTCGGCGGCCGCACCGCCGTTGTGCCGGATGTACCCGCCCCACACGGCCGTGAGGCGCGCCAGGCTGCCTCGCTGCCCGTGGCACCCCAGCGCCCCCGCCGGACGGCGGGCCCGGCCCTCGACCTCGGAATTGGCGGCCCGGTCACTGGCCGGGCAGCGGCACCGAGGACAGCTGCGCGTGCAGGTGGGCGGTGAGCTCGGGGGTGATCTTCTGCTTGGCGCGCAGCACCTTGTAGATGGCGGGGTCCACGTGCTTCAGGATGGCGGCCTCGGCCGCGGTGATGTCAGACGTGGACACCTGGCGGGCCGGTTTCGTGGGTGGGAGAGGGTGAGGATCAGCAGTGACAAGCGGTTTGAAAGGCGCTGTAGCCTCGCCACAAGTGCAAAACTCTAGAAGCTGCGCCAGCTGCCTCGCCGTTGCCCGGCACCCCGGCCTGTTGGTGCCATGCGCCCTCCCTCAAGAGGCAAGCCTCGCAGGAAGGCATGCAGGTCCTCTCTATAACCTTCCCCCGTACCCGCAGCCTTAAGCACATGCATGTGTGAGCAACCCCGCAAGTCGCGTGCTCGACCCACACAGTCGACGCGGCGTTTTGTCTGCAACTTTCCCCTGTCGCAGCCCGCGCCATGTGTCAACCGTCCAGGATTGTGACCTTTATGAACCCCAATAACCCCCAGTAACCCCCCGTAACCCCCCACCTTGTCGAGGTAGCCCTTTGTTGCGGCGTACACCACCACCACCTGCTCCTCGATGGGCATGGGGTTGAACTGGCGCTGCTTCAGCACCTCCGTCAGGCGCGCGCCACGCTCCAGGACGTACTGTTGGGGAGCGGCAAGGTGATGGGCACATTTTGGGGGGTTGCACGCGTCACTATGGGGGTCGCCGGACACAGGATTGACCGCAGTGGGCGACACGGCGGATCCGTGGGCATGTCTCTTGCCGAGGCAGAGCACACGCCGTGCATCCGACTCATAATGACGGCGGAAACACAGGCCGCGTGCATGCTCAAAACCCCGCTTAGTCCCGTGCCGCCCGCCTCCCGCCGCACCTGCGTGG